ATCTCACGCCGATATGAAACTCTTGTATCAAAAAAAAAATTGAAATCAAAAGAAGGAGCATGCATGATAGCAATTTCCAATACAAATTTGATAAGCATGAGCAATGCGGACGGCGTAATCGTACGCTCAATTCCGTGTCCCAATGTTCCTAATGGAGGCAACCCAGAACTGATCAAGTTGCCCCAAGGGTGTCTGGAGCGGAAAAAACGTATTTTCAAGTTACTCTTCAATACCCCTCTTCCACTGATCACGGGCAAACCCTGATCTTTTTTGCCTTATTTGATTTTTTTTTTTGCCAGGATGAGATGGCGTGGTGCTGGGGTGTTGGGAGGGGGAGGGGGAGGCGGACGGGAATAGAAGTATCGAAATATCATATGGATTACGATTCTTTAACCTCACTATTAACTGTGGAATCGATTTATAATTCCCTGCATTCTTAATGGGGATATTTTAGCGATATTTCGAGAGAGGAAATTTTCAGTAAATTAGGCAAGGCATCTGGGAAGTTCTATTTTTCCCAAGGTAGGCCTAACCACTGTTTGGTGATCGTTTTGCTTATACTTATCCTCCCGGTGTGTTCTGGGATTTTCTCTCGTGAAAAGCTCATTTCCACCTCTTGAACAATTCATTTACCACATACAAGACTCTTATGTCCATGGAGAATTGCATTGATTGACGGTCTTTTCGTTTGTTCATCTGCCGGGCTTCACGACTTATTCCGTGCACTCCACTGATGTATCGTTCCAAGCTGTTGACGCTATCCTTGGTTTTCTACTTTTTTCATTCAGCTACTAAAGATTTGATCTGATGGCAGAGCCATCTGAAAGCTAGAATTTTCAGTGATAGAGTCATGTTGAAAACCGAATGGTGTCATTACCATTCGGGTTGAAATCTCAAAGCAGAGATCTCCCATCCATCCGCTGGCCCAAACACATTCTCCACAGTTCACTTGTTAGCCACACCCTCCAAACATTCGTGAAATACGAATATAAAATGAATATTTCTCTACGATGACCATGTCAACATGCATTCAGTCCCGCCTCTTCAGATTCTTTTCGAGTACGGCCCGAGAACACACCTTATCGGGATTACACCTGCAAGCCATAGACGTAGATAGCTATGATAATCTGGAGCAGCTTCCGAATTCGTTCAATTAGCCATCAGCATTCACAAATACATGAGCGCTTGCAATAATCGTAGCTATAATTGTAGGCAGTACTCACAGCTTTTCACCTTAATTAAATTCAAAAGTCATTCGTGGGCAGTTCAATGGCAATAGCCCAAAATCACACAACTTTAGCTATTTTTTGCATATAGCGAAGAATAGAAAAATCTTTTCATCTCATCTCCATCTGTCTCTGCTGCAGCGTCTTGGATTACACTTACATCCTGAAAGGCCTTTCGACCAAAAAATCGCTCTATATTCTGTTATATCTTCATGTTTATTCTGCAGTTGAGGAGCTCATGATGGGCGGTGCTTGCGCCAGATGGGCGGAGCTTGCACGAAATCTTCACAAATAGGGCCTAGAAAGGCCAAGAATTTGTAGAAGCGTGTAACAGTCGTGTAACAGTCTTCCAAAAGGCATGAAACGCTCTGGGTTTGCCATTTCTGAATTAAACTTTAGCCACACCCTCGCAAATTGANACGTAGCTTGAGAGATATTAGATTCCTACGCACGAGCACGTTGGTCCGCCTTTCTAGAAATTTCCAGCATTTTCTTCTAAAAACGCTTGTATGTGATTGAATGTGTGCCCATCACATTCTTATGCAAAGCGGTATGTCATATTGACGTGATTGTGAATTCAACAGGAATTTCTGACGAACAGCTTCCATTCTATACGTGCCTATATATACGCTGATGTGTTTTCCTTTATTTTCAAATCTATTTTAATCATTTCTAGAATTTTTTAATCATCTTCTTGATCATACGTTTTATTCATAAGCATTCGTTTTATCCCAGCGAATCGAGCAACATTTGGTTTCGTTTTGGTAACTTCCGCCCATTCGGGAGATTCCCACTGCTCCCTCTTACCCACCACTACCGCTTAATGAAAAGAAATTCAATACTCTCCAATGAGTTTGATCAGATTAGTGGTCGGCGGACCAGAATACGTCATTTTCAAAGACCCAGTCCATTACATGCCCATCAATTTATTAAAGTAAGAAGGCGCTCGAGATTTCTGCTTTTCCAGTAGCACCAGTTTTGTTTTTTCCTGGATCAACGATAATGTACTGTGGGCGATTTTCCTCGACTCCATGAGAATTGTATTTATTATTATTTATTTTATATTATTTCAATTTCACAGCATGGTTGAGCTCGTTTGACCGGAAAAATCCTCTCATTGAGTCTCATCTCCTATCATCTTTTCCTTATTAGCTTCAGTGCGGTAAACTTTAACTTATACGTCTCTCTCTAGGCAGATGTACCATTGGCCGACTATACAATGCCGTCAATACTAAATCCGAATGGTATGAGCCTGGCATCAGAAATGGAATCTGTCGAACGGACACCGTATCACGATCCCTATATGGAGGAATTGAAGTAGGTTTCTTTCAGGGACTGAAATCGCTACAGGACCACTAGAAACGAACAATTGTTCCTTTTTTCGGGAAGGATTTTGAAGTGATACTCTTCCCGACGCTTATTCAATGATTTTATGATCGATATTTCTGCGTTGCGATAGAATTAGTTTGGGTTTTCCAGGATTCAGCTTAAGCAAACAAAAAATACGCAACGAATTTTCGCTCCTTCCGCTCCCCGAACTATGCATTTATCGAGGGGCGTGGTATGCGAGTGGGTGTGGTCTGCAATGCACTCGTGATCGACTTAATATTCTGGCGTATATTGGAGAATAAGGAGTCTCGCTTTGAATGGTAAAGGAAAACTCTGTGTAAACTTCACTTAAAAATACAAGGCACTGACTGGAACACTAACGTACATTGTTAAACACCTTTTAATGGTGTTGGACTGCTCCATTCAGAACGGGGATTGATCCCAGAGAGTACTGAAGTAGGGACCTGATAAGGGGCTTTTGACTGGCAGTGGCTGAAGCGTTTTGTTCATTTTTTGGAAGGAAGTGATCGTCGGCACCTCTTACGAGAGTTAGGCTGTAGGTGCCACATATGTACTAAGGATTAAAGATGGGGGACCGCCGTGCTTAGTGGATATCGGGTGATATTTTAATGTCGGTTAGTTTTACTTTTTTATGCCCGTACTTCAGATCAGCTGTTACCTGATCGAAATTGTCACGTAAACTGTTACGCGACCGCTCCCATCCCTGATCCACAAATCACATAATAGGCTGATAAGTCAATCGAGGAAACAGTATCCATGCTACAGTGTTCTGTCTATATCATTGAGTTTTTGTAACGAGATCGCTTGGCTGTTAGCTCTATCGCGTGAGCTTGAGCGGAACTCTAACGGCTATCATAAAAATGGTGATGATTTCCGCTTGGTTTCTCCCTATTGCTTGCTAAAGCACATTGTTCTTCAGCAATAGCTTTGCTAACTAGGATTACTAGTGATGAAGTTTGTTCACCGACATTAAAGAGAAATTGAAGGGATTTGTCAAAAGCAGAATTCAGGCGTTTCTGAACATGCCATCTGTTCACATTACCTTACCCATAACCCATAACCCATGTTAGTCTAGGTAATGCACCATATCCCGGCCGATGCACCATATCGAAAATCGTAGGGGTTAAGCTTGCCTTATGGAAATATCCAGCCACCCGTATACTTGATCACTTGTCCCTGAACAAATTCCAACTTGAGGCAACTCGACTTGAACTCTTTAGGAATAGAATATGAGTGAGGTATTCACTTGAAATAATAAAGGTACAGGACAATTGAGCATTAACTTGAACCAAATAAGTGAATAGTGGCTCGAGAGCAGCCGGTGCTTGAGACGATTGTGACAATATCGATCGTTGTACTTGAGACTTGCCCTTTTATAGCTGCCTTAAGCCCGCCAGATCATTGCGTAGATCACGTCGCATTCGCGGCAGTATACATCGCTTATTTTGCACAAAATCGCACTTCTTGAGATAGTCCTGTTCAAAGTAAAAACAGCTTCATCTGTAGGATTGACCAAACAGTAACGTCTGAGTGCATGACGAGGTGATTAGGGCGTGGCTTCCCACAAATCCACCTACACACCCGTTTTTACAACTGCGACCTCTCGTGAATTGAACTTTTCATCATTCATCTGCCTGACTAGCACATGCCAAATTATCACGTCATTCCTTTGTGCCTGATTGACCAGTGCCCATACCATCAGCTCAGTCCATTTGCAGGATTTATGCGTCACCACAAAATACTCTGACGTCTGCTGTCTAACCAGAAGGGTTAGAGAGGCAGAGTACGAATGACGTGAGCTTTTTGGTCACAGTTAGGCCATCAACAGTTTTTTTTTGGCCCAATTAGAATCGCCCTCTATAGCATAGCTTGTCCTAGGGCTGTTTATGATGTTGACGATGACAATCTGTCTATCTAGGGCCCTTTCTACTGAGCCCTTCCTTTACCGGCCTTCCCAACAAAGTGCATCCATCGGCTATCCTGGCTTTTCTCTTTCCCAGGCATTTATTATCGAATTTTAAGCTTCGGTTAACTGAAAGGAGACGTTCTCATTTGGTATCGCTTTAATTGAGCTCTTCAGTTCTTTTTTTCACGTCAACTGCCTTCCTGCAATGTGTGGCAATGGAAAGGCTCCATTTCTCTCCGTCACGCTATCATTTCCCTACTTTCCATTCTATCTTTCTCTAGCCTTTTAGGGCAGGCCTCAATGGGAGGGTCTTTACCGATCATTTTAATTCAGCTATGTTCAAAATGTAGCTGATCTCTTGAGACCTGGAATTCTCCAGGTCCTTCATGTACTTTTTAAAGTGCGTCATGCCCATTTATCTTCCTTTCGGACACTTAGTCTTAATGGCCAATGTAACAAATTCATGGCTAAAATCAGTTTTGTTGTCTAAAATATGTCGATTAGTACTATTTATTTTCCCACACTGGGAGGGTCTTTACAGATCATTTTAATTCAGCTATGTTCAAAATGTAGCTGATCTCTTGAGACCTGGAATTCTCCAGGTCCTTCATGTACTTTTTAATGGGAGGGTCTTCACCGATCATTTTAATTCAGCTATGTTCAAAATGTAGCTGATCTCTTGAGACCTGGAATTTTCCAGGTCCTTCATGTACTTTTGAAAGTGCGCCATGCCCATTTATCTTCCTTTCGGACACTTAGTCTTAATGGCCAATGTAACAAATTCATGGCTAAAATCAGTTTTGTTGTCTAAAATATGTCGATTAGTACTATTTATTTTCCCACACCCACTCATGCGCAATGTTTGCGCAGACCTAAGGACCTTTTTGCCTACTTTCCTCCTTTTTTTATCAAGTTCAATGTTTTCTAGCCCTCTTAATAGTAGTGCCCGAGCTCCAGCTCGAAACATGAACTCGATCTTCTAGCAAATGTTGTCCGTTTCAGGCAGCAGTTAGCCGAGCAGGAAAGTCGGCCAAGGCAAGATCTTCAGACCATCTACGAGCATCCAGTCAGAATCAAGGTAATTGCCTATGACACCTTCCATCATCATGATTTTGCCTTTTCCACTTGAACGATTCAGGCATGCGAGTTTACGGTAGCGCTTGTCCTTGAGTTTGAAAGTTCTGATCTATAGAATGTTGGACTAATGTAATGCTAATGCAACATAAAATCCTTTATAAGCTCCCGATTTTACTTTGAAGAATTTCATTCGTTTGTTACAATTTTTGCATTCCAAAATCCTGGTTTATGACAGGATAGAGCTTCTCATGCCCATGTGCCTACGTTCACAACAAATCATGCTTTTGTTTTGAAATTCTTGGTCCAAATTATCTATACATAGTGGAAGCCACTTTACCAATTTTCTCCAAAAAAAAAACTTTGAAAACTACAAATTTATCGGTAGAAGCCTGAAGCCTTCTACGAGGTATGGTCAAAAGCTTTTTGATGTGGTCGTGCACTCGGGTTACGACAGGACCTTATCTTCGACTACCTCCCTGTGCAGAACCTTGCTGGGCCAGGCGATATAGAGGGCCACAATTCAGAGCTCCCTAATCGAGCCAAGCAAATCAAGTCAAGTTCGGTGGATAGAAAGATTTCATAGAGACCATAACTGAGCATTAGAATAGTGACCACGTGCATGATAACAGCGCCACCAGCCGTTACCAAGTTTCCGCCAACCCTTTGTCTCGACAACGTTTTATTATTTATCGTATTTTTTCTGAAAGCAAGAAAATCAACCAAAGTAAAAAGAGAGAATAAAAAATAATAGTTTTTTTCAGCGCCCGCAATTTCGACCGATGGAGCCAGAAGTATGCAGTGGCATGTCGCCGGTACCACGGCTCGCTTCACCACAATCTCTAGCTGATGTGTGATTTCTTTTTGGAACTCCTTTCTTCAAATGTTGATTTTTTTTCTCAGAATACCCTCACTATTGGGCCGATAGTTTGTTTGGTTTTCTCTCTTTTATTATCTCTAATTGTAAGACTCAAATACCTCAAAGAACCCTCATTCTGTCCACCGTCAAAGAAACAGGTTGGAAACAAACAAGTTAGTAAGACGTGAAAAAATCCAAGTTCGAGGATTCTTTTTTAATCCTACCCTAGAGACTCCAGTGTGGGTGCTTTTCGCACATTTCCATGAAAGCCTAATGGGCGTGTTTATGAAGTGGTCCTAGAGTAGAATGCGCCCGCTAGCACTGAACGCGGTACTTTTGAGAAAATTTGGAAGAGTCCTAAAAACAGGCGCGACGTATTTAACTTGTGGTAGACAAGCCTGATTAAAACCTGGGCAGAAGGTGAGTCCATGCGTTTCCCATACCATGATGCATCTAGGTAGATCAGCTCATCCAACTGATGCAGAAAAGCTGTTTCTGGTCGCACCAAGTTTGTAGTACTGCTTTGATGCGAGAGTCCTTTCAGATGTGCCCAGCCTTCCAGATAAGTCCCCTTTTGGATAGACGTAAGCTTCTCTTTTCTGTGACTGTCCAGTCAGCATTTATGCTTAGCCTTGTTTCTCGGCTCATTTGATTTCAACTGGGATACAGGTGCATGGCGTACCCCCAATAACACTGAGCAAGCTTGTCTAATGTAATACCTACGATGATACGTCGTTTATTATTAAAGCTTTTAGAAAAAAGAGTTTGAAAATAGCCAGACAGTAAGCAGCTCGTTTCAGGAATTAAATGAGGCTGAAAAGGAGACTGAAAAGCAGAAAAAGACAGATGTGGTGAGTTGCTGTTTGCACAGGCATTTCCACTGCCTTGAAAGCAGCCCATCTTAAGGATCTCCGCACTCCCGATCGAATATTCAAAGTGGTATTTGTCGGCGATTCAGCAGTAGGTAAAACAGCCTTTTTACATAGGTATGTTTTGAAATTTGATGTTTTTTTCTGCTTTGTAAAAAAAATGTTCGGAATCTTTATAACCGGGAACCAGAGACAGCTTTTATGCGCGGATGCTTCGCTTACCGTGGGCGGAGAAACGGAGTAGCGAACACAATTTTGAAATGCTGATATGCCATTCGAGATGAAGGACGATGCAAACTGCCAAAGTGTTTCCTACAGGATGAAGTCTTTCTGACGGGAAGAGCTTCCGTTTATGGGAGCCTGTTCTTGCTGACTTCCGGATTATCCGATTGTTCTCAGTCGCTTGAATAATCGGTTAACCCAATCATAGCTTTTCCAAACCCCTTTAGCCTAACTGTTGGATAGTTTGCTTTGAAATATTTCCTATAATTGGATAAATTCTGCATAGTATCTTTTTCCTCCGGAAAAGTGGGAATATTCCATGCCGATTAATGTTCCAGGGCTTTTTAGCTGAGAATTCAGCCAAAGACTGGGACTATTTCACAGAAATAGCACGACTCTGTCTCACACCCACTGTTAT